CTCAAGTTTTGAAGAACAAAATTTCTGATAGTTTTATATTTTTTTCAAGCTGGAATTTAATAGCGCAAATTTACGTTTTTTTAAATAATAAAGTATATTTAAAATTAATGAATAAAAATTTTATTCTCTAATCAAATTAAATTATTTCAGAACTTTATTTCAACAGGAATTTATTTTTCAATTATATTTTCATTTTCATAGTTTGCTTCATCAAGAATATTATAATTTGTTACTTCTAATGATACTAATCCAAAATTGAAAAAAATTTAATAATTTATCAAAACTTTGTTAATTTTTTGGCTTTGAAAGATATGCCCTATGACATAGTTTTTGTGATTTTTTTCAAAGGGCTCGGGAATTAAATTTATCTTTGATAAATTACAAAACCATACTACGTGACTCCTAACAAAAACAGTTATTATAAAAACAATAATTGATCAGGCTTTGATCATTCGCTGTAAAAAGATGGATTTAAAACAACGAAAACTTGACGCTGATAATTATAAATGTTTTTAAACATCTCTACGGTTTACTAATGTGTTACGTCAACCTGCTGATGGATGACGGATACCAAACGCCGCACGAAAGCGCGGCCGCGCGGCGTGCGAGTTTGACGGGCCGGCGCGCGTCCGAAAATTATAAAACACTTTTCCAAGAAGCAACAGCTGCTGCAAAATATCGTTCTGTTCTCTTAATCTCTCTCTCACTATTTTTCTCTCTGTAATAGGCCGATTCTATATTAAGAGTCTAAAGGTTTCTGATAATGAAGTATGGACATATAGAGAGATCAAAGAAAATTTTCATCTCACAAGATAATATTAGCGTATTAACACTTCGCGTGCAATTATTTTTTCACACACTTTATCCGTCATATTAATTTCAAGAAACTCATTAAAAAAAAAAGAATGTACATACATTCCGACAAAATTAATCAATCTAGGATTGGCTTAGTTCTGCTGCATGTTCCGAAAAGACGAAATAATCCTCAAAGTTCTCCTACAATCGCTCAGATCAATCGATCAAAGGGACCTCCTGGAGATCCGCGGTCGGCCACACGCAATTGTTCGTATGTACCTCGGGCTCCGGATGGTCGATTAATTCGAAGCGTGCGCGCGATGACACGCGCCTCGAAGCGAGCCGTGTGACGGCGCGAGAGATGCGCGCGCGAGTCGCGTGGAAGGCCGCCTCGTAAACTGCGACCCAACGCCGCGGTGGCCGTGATAGCGACGACTGGCGACGACTTCCACCGGGGAACGGAACGAAAGCCACCGGCGACGACGACGGCGGCGGCAGCGGCGGCGGCGCCGCGGCGCAAGCGTCCCGCACGGCCCGCTCTTTTCCGCGCTTTTCTCCGCGATCCGATCGAATCACCTGGCGTTGCAACATGATTTGCGCGCTATGCGCGATACACTGCCGACATACACACAGCCAATCTGATTAATTCACAAACCGCACAAACCGGGATCAATTGTCGAAAATTACGCGCGCTCTCTCGGTGCGCGTTTTACTCGTCCTGCAGAGAAGACTCCGTTCCGGAGTTCGCAATAATATATCGGGCTGCGTTCGTAACCGATATTTATTTTTTCATGATTCGCTCTCCATGGGTGTTCCGCGTATCAAATGCGTGCGGATGTAACACAATGTTATATGAAATTCATTTGAAAAAAGAAATGTTCGGAACTCGGAAAGCGTTATAACAATTCGCATGCGATATCGAGGAAAGTTCATTAAATCGCATTTTTGTGTGTCTCGACAAGTTTATTTTTATCACGTTTCGAATATCGATCCACTCTCGGCGGCATTCGAAGGTTATAGGCTGCTGCTCCAGTTTGCTCGGCAAGGATTAATCCGATATTGCTGTAATGAGCTTTTCGAATTGTCGTTTGTTTCCATTCTTCCTATTCACGTATATCGCGTATCGCGCTGGTAACTTTCTATAGACAACGTGAAGCGAACTGAAGGCTATTATGATAATATTAGAATAAAATAATCCAGCAGATATTAATTAATCTTTCTGTTTCAAAACTCAATGATATAACATACCGATAGTGTGATTTTCAGTATAAACTAAATGTCTAACTGTAAAAATATTTTTGTGTTTTTATTATTTGTGAGAAAATTAGAGCATTTTATTATAACGTATTCAAACTGACGTCACTTTAATGTACTTAAATTCTTGCGCAAACAGCAATTCATAAATACGTATATATGTAATATATAAAACTGCACATTTAATTTTCTCATATTATATAAAATTCTTTTTCATGCCATAAGTTTTATAATAAATGAGAAAATATAAGTATTTTATGGAAATATCAGGAAATGTAATTTCCCTATCTAAATGCGAGAGACAGGATTTTTGCATTAACGGGAAACTCGATCGTTAACCCCAATCACGAATCGCCGCGGTGTCATCGGCTATAAATTTCCAACAAGATGAAGAAGAAATAATTTATTGCTTCTAATTATTTTATGCCAATCATTTTCTGTCGTGTAAATTAAGCATGGTCCTTTCCGGTTTGTTCGTCACACTGCCTTGTGAAAAAATAGCGAGAACGCTGCACGAGCGGATATTAAAATTCGAATCGTCGATAGAGAAGCAATAAACGTATCTCTTTTCATCGCCATCTGCTCGTAGAATTGTGCTATTTATTTTTACACTTCCAGCGCCGAATCTACGTGGCATTAATGCGATTCATATTCGCGCGAGAGTTGCTTCTGAATTATTAATTTTAGCACAGCGCAGCCGCCGGGCTTCCTTAAGGATATCATTGTTCTCGACGCGAATAAATCATTCTTGCTTTAAACTACAGCGATTATTAAAATAATGGAGCGTGTAAGTTGCATTAAAAGGCTAAGGATTAAGAAGAGGAGTTGTCACATTACAAAATTACAAAGCCCTCATGATTGAAAAGTTGATTAAGAAAAGCTAATATATCCGTACAAACATTTTTTCTTTTCTTTTTCTAAATAAATTATAATTAAAAAAATTCAGATGCTTTGGCTGTTTTAATAAAATTATTATTAAATATCCGAATTATGTATGTATAATCATCCAATTAAAAAAAATCGATAGCACCTCACCGGTCATCGGGGAAAGTGTGGTCATATGAACTTTTATTTTTACACCAGATAATAAATAGATTCCCCTTGCGACGCCATACAGGTAATTTTCTAGTTCAAGGCGGCAAAGGTATTGCTGATTTTCCACTCTGTAGCGAGCCATCACGGAGTCGCTTCTTTTCATCCGGTATATTTCTATCGTAAGATTTATTCGATTAGCGCGTTTGTCGATTAGATTGCCCCGGGCGAGAAGGAAAGCATCGCCGCGCCGGCGCATCCATAGATGCATACTATCCGTGGGCGTGCCTATACCGGAAGTCATAATCACGTCGCACCACGAGATCACGCCGCGAGAAAGCAATTAGTTCACGTCGATAATTAATTAAACTTTCGCGATCGAATCCGCGACACAATACAACAGCGTTGCGCTTCAGATAAGAAGCGATGGAGGAACTCTCATGTGGAGCGCGACAGAAGATGAGGTCGAATCTCTCGACATCTATCATTATTTTTATATTGCTACGAAGAAGTTAATTAAACTTCCTTCTTACTTTTTTTTTACATCAAACGTATATATATGTATATATATATCTCCTATCTTGCAGTTACAATTTCTATTTATATAACCACTCAATTAATATAATAAAGTACAAGATCTAATAAAAAAACTTTTAATTACTTCGATATATTTAGTTTAACAAGATGGATCAATTAAAACACTGCAACATCTCGTTTATCTGCGGATAGAGCGTCAAGATACAACTTCAAAATGTCTGCACCGATATAGCATAACAGGATAAATCTCGGAGTGGCTCGAACATTACGCGAAAATTACACGGGTCACGACACCTCCGGGTGTCTTCAATTAATTGCGAGCTACGTAATAGCATGCGCGTGATATTACACGCGCGTTAAGTCCAACTGGAGAGTTATACTACGCGCGTCCCGTAATGAACCTTCAGACACCGCCATCACTGTATCACCGCGATCGGAGGGCGAAAATTCCGCCGTTTCCGGCGCGCCGCCGCAAATTGCATTCGATCGCGTTGCACTCCCGTGAGGGAAATTAATTACGCACTAAACTCGTTATCGGGAATGCCCCGCGCTCGCGAAGATCGGTATCGATTGCGAGCGTTCAGATTCGCACGATCAAAGATGTCAATATTCATTATGAAGCCCGGCCGTGTCGGGCTCGTTTGCGTCCCACGCGAGGAGCGCAAATTAATGGCAGATTGGCGTCGTAAGCTGACAACCACCGTTCAAATGTAATCAGACGCGGGCCGGAGAGACGCCGGGCCCGCCACGTGTGATTTATGTATATGTGGTATCCGAATAACCGCGACGTCAGGACGTAGCTGTTCCGTTCGTTTTGGATGTGTGGCGCGGAGTTTCTTTCATAAATACATAAACTCCGTAAAGCGTATATAAATCAAATGTTTAATTTCTCCCAACTCGGAAGTTTGTCGACTATCCCGTTTAGAATTCAGTTATTTTATGTAACCTTTGCATTTATATAACTTAATAATCTTTCAACATTTCGAAAAGTCAACTTTGCTCTCACTTCGTGCGCGATTATCTTCATCATTTAAACGCCAAATATAAATATCGTGGTGCATCGCGCCTCGCAGCTCCATAGCTCAGTTTAATATGCGAGAAATTATATTATACGACTTGGAGGCTCTACTCTCTCGCTTCGCGCGGGAGAGTAACAAGATCCTTTTACCGAGTTTACCGAGCGCGCAATTGCGCGTGTAATCGAGTGAACGTGGATTGTCGGAATCGTCTTGAAATCGAAATCGTCGTTTTTCCGGAAAGGTCAACCGGTGAAAAGCCCGTCCATGTTTATTACGATACCAGGGGTATACTGTTGAACGATTACGAGCTCACCGGCTCGTGCGAACGAGTGAAATAATTACTCCGTTCAACGGAGAACGTACCTGATAGTTGTCGTTCCGATTGCGAGCGCGGCTGCTGCTGCAAGCTCTGAAAGCAAACATTGAGAACGTATCATTAGTTTGAGAAACGGCGGCGCTCTCGTGTCTGCGAAGGTCGCATGGTAGAGGGTCGAAAGAGCGCTTTTAGCACGAACGACGCGTTTACTGCAATCAGATGCACCGCGGCGACGGCATCTAAAACCACGCTGCGGTAAAAGCATCGCTCAAAATGAATTAGTTCTCCCGCTTAACGATCAGTTAGTGGATTAGTAAAGCCCCTTTCACCTCGACAAGCGCTCGGTGAACAAACTGCTACTATGCATGGCCATTTGAAACGTTATACATTTCAAATGTCTAAATGAATTACGATGCACAGATTAGAGCGTTTAATTGTTAATTTAGTCGCGTGACTTAATCATGCGATCTTTTTGTATTGCAATAATGAGAAGAAAAATTGATTTCATTTCGTCGAATTTTGCGCAGAGCTACCTAATTGCTTGATAATAGTCGGTGACACAAAAGACGATTCTTCATTGTCGGAGGGATTCTAACTGCATCTTATTTCCATGACAACGAGAGATAACTAATAATCGACTCGACATTGAATCGTGACCCACTTGCAGTATTGAGCCGGTCGGCCTCGAAAACAACGGACGAACAACCGTGACCTTATCTACACCGTGATTCACTAAGCGAATGTGCCATCGATCGATATCTTTCTCGATATTCACGAAAAAAATTAGAAGCACGTAATTAATCGTGAAATATACATGCAATGCTCCACATTTTCGTCCCGAAGAACTGCACCGTAAAACTGTTTTCCTCCGGAAATCACTAATAAAAGTATAAAATTAAAACATCAAAGAAGTTATGTAATATTCAAAAAATTGATTGAGTTATAGTAATAATTTATAATGATGAACGATGTAACAATTCTGAAGACGTTTAATTCTTGTTTTAATTATTTTTCTTCGAAATTTTATAGTTAAAATTGTCTCTAAAATATGATTCATAATATAATGTAAACAAAGCACAAAATCACAGAAAATAGGCAGTGTCACGAAATGAGCAGTGAGTCTTTGAAAAAGGGATCTCGCCGTTATGCGAGCATAAAAGTCATGAATGTCTCCACGTATCGATGCCATATTTAAAACTCGTAGACCAGCCGTCAAATATTTTTCAAGCGAAACCGAATAGGCGTGGCCTATCTTTTTTACGACTAGCTAGGCTTCAAAGCGAATCCCACGAAGTTCTCAAACAAAAATTATATCGCTTCTCGGGATATCGTATACTCTGTCGGATCACTTCGTTCATCGGTTACAAACGAGACACGGAACAATGTGCGCGCAGAGAAATACGCGCAATACTTTTGCAAAAAATTTCTCCAGAATTTCTCAAACGAGTGTATCTTTTTTAAACCTGCTGCATTCCAAGAAGCATATTTTACTAAAAGAAAACGCGCAAAAGGCAGCTGAGTCACTGCAGTCTTGGCAGTTTCAAAAATAAATATTTCCGATCTCTATTTTATCCTGCAATGTTTCTGCGTACACTATCGCAATAAAACGAGCACGATATTTTCCAAGGATCTGTCAAGAGAGAGAGAGAGAGAGCAAATTTAAATTAGTCTTCAGTGTCCGTAGGAATAAAATATCAGACATTGGTAACATTTTATAGATTTAAGGTAAAGTGTGTCAGTTTTTGTGACTGCAAGATTAAATGCGCAGCGTATCAAAACGCGCATTTCAGATATTAAAAAATAAATCGTTACGTATATTCAGCGCTGCTGCCCTGCCAGATGGATTTCTAACGTTTACGAAATCAAATTAATGGTCGATTAAAATTTTTACTACATGTCACGCGCGAAGTTTCTCGCGTGACATTCGATTTGTCACGGGCGTTGATTTGAAAAAGAGCAATTGTGTATATTGCTTGCAATTTCCGAGATAAAAAGAGAGAGAGAGAGAGAGAGAGAGATAGAGAGAGAGAGAGAGAGAGAAAGACAGCCGAGCGTTTAAAACAGCTGACCTGACGAAAGACCCGAGTTTTCCATCGTGGCCTTCGTGCACGCGTACGTGATAGACCACACGGTGTGGCTATATTCGAGGTCCGAGGGATACCAACCGATTAATACGCCACCACGGCTGGCTGCCCCATTAGCTTTGATCGCTCAACACAGGCAATCCCGGTACCGGGTGTTCACGCGCGACTTCCGCGCGCGCTCTCGTGCAATGGGTGTTTACCGAGGCAACATGCTCACTCGAGCGCGAATGCTCCCCGTGTACTGACACTTCATTGATAATTTGCATATACGCCGGCCGCCGTCCTACGAAAACTGCGGAGATAAACTGCGGGCAGCAGCGGCGCACATTCGGGCACGCCAAAGGTCAAAGTTGCGGACGGTTGCTCGCACACGGAATGCGAAATGTAGCGGGACCCGGGCCAATCAAAAGCACCGTCGTCGACTGGTTGCACCGAAAATATGTAAAGTAAATAAAGAATCGACTCCCTCGCGCGCGGCTCCAAGTGCATCCATGCGGAGCGCCACCGCTTCCACCGTCAAAGACCTGACCTTGCACGATTTTTGTGCACGAAACGAACGGCGGAGGATTCTCTACGTTTCGCTGGATGTTTCGCGTGCACGTATAGCGACACGCTTGAGACGATACTAAAGAAGAATGTTGGAGAGCGCCCGGTCGAGAAAACAATAAACGTGACCCATTTAGCTGCTCGACCGTTTAAGCGTGGCTCTTAAATTTAATTGTGAACAACGGTTAATTGCCGCGCTCTTTCAACAGGGCAAACAGCGCTGAAACTAATTCTCCCGATGTTACTATTGACGCAAAGTATATAGTCACTGAAACTTCATAAAAGATGTGTAGATGTGATCCTCGTATAAAAATATCATGAACGGTGTTAATTAAAATTTTGTGTGGCAATAACCGGCAATATCGTGTATTATTGAAAAGTAGACAATAAAACTATTTTGTTAAGAATATACAATGATATACTATTAAGTCGTTAATAGTCAACTAATGACAGTATACGGCATATTCGTGTATATTAATTCAAATAATTTCCTTTTTAGTCGGAAAATTTAAATATATCGGATAAACAATTAAGCTCGCGAGATTAACAGACTTTCTAAAAACAGTAATTAAGCAATACATTCAAGTAATCCTCGTTTATACGTTCATGTAACTCGTGCGATCATCCACTAATTCGCGTTTCGATCTCCTACACTAGAACTTGTCAATAATCCCTCTCTTCGTAATTATCTATACAAATCGCGAAGATTAATTATTTCTTAGAGCAATTAATCATAAACGATCGATGGTGCATACGTCTAAAGGTGCATCCGTGGCAGATTGGATCGACCAGTTCCCACGGTGGAGCGATCCTTGTTGGTTCGCAAGAAATTCCCATCTCTCGTGAAACAGGTGGGTACTCCCGTTGGAGAAGAATACTCGCGGCTCATCGCCGCAACGAAATGTTATTATTACGACACTCATCGTGGCCCACACGAACCGCAGGCGAGGGACACAAGAGACGCGGTAGGCTGGCTAACGTGTCGAACGACGTGCGCGAACCACGTGGGCAGAGACTAATAGCTGTCCGTGAACAGCGGATCGTCGAACGTATAACCGCGAGGACGGGGGGGGAGGAGGTGCAGCGTACGTATATATCTGCGATATACTACGTCGGGTAATCTCGATACCGATAGCGCCGTACATGCTTCGCTGCCGCGCGATTAATGCCCGCCGTCGCCGTCTAGGACGATACCCGATGTAAGCGCCCGGCCTCTCTTGCTCAACGAGTCACGCTCGAGTTGGCTATCGATATTAAGGGACGATTCAAACCGGCGGATTTGACGTCAACCGACGTTCGCTTACGTAAGTTCGCGCGCGCGCGCGCGTTCATTCTTAATTAAGTAATAACAAGCTCGGGAAGTAAATACATTATTAAGTTGAAACTTTGCCAAGCTTCTTTCTCAGATAACTAGAGAATTTCTATGGCTAACTTTTCTTAATACTTCACCGTATAAGAGTTCTCGGATTATCGGATGTACATAAGAAAAAGAAAAAAATCGAATAGTACAAATTTGATAAGATACAAAGGTACAAAGTTGATAAGATAGGTACAAGAATTTCTCGATACTGACGTGGAGAACTGTTTTTTTATCCGCTATATATTATTTCGACGTTCTCTTCTTTAATAGAGAAGCGAACGTGATATTCCAACCAACTTTCCAACTTACACTATTTACTCAGAATTAAACAAAGAGGAACTTACCGGCACCTTCCCGTTGACGTTCTTCGCGTCATTGTTCTCCAACAACGGCGCGCTGCTGCTCTTCCCGCCCATTTCCACAGTCAGAGGTTCCGGCTTCAGCTGGAGACTCGCCGCGGACGGAGAGGACGGCGCTCGGGGCGGCGTCTCGAGCAGCTCGCCCGAGCTTAAGGAACTGCTCGCAGTGGTGGACAAGCCTGTCGCAGAAGAATAGTCGAGCGAGCTAGATTAGAATTTACAACGTGCAGAAATAAACTAACGCGGAATATATCGCCCAACTAGTAAAATCACTCGAAACTGGTCTCATAAAGCGAGTTCTCCAAATAAATGATTCGTATTTATTACGCTTATATTATACGCGCAATATTGCGCCGCGTGTAATAAGAAGACGTAAAAATGACAGCTTGACATTACGTGTAGGAGGTACACACGGAGATATGCCGGCATGACTCACATAGCGGTAAATTCGTAGGCCTGGACGTCCTGATCCTCGGCAACGAGTCATCGAGACCGCTACTGCTGTCCACCGCGTCCTGCGAGTACTGATCGTCGATCTGTTTCGTTTGCGTGTGCACGCTCTCGCGTTTGACCCACACGTCCTGCGAGTTCTTGTCGTTTCGCGAATTCAGTTTCGATGGCCGTCGCCGAATTCGCTCCCATGTCTCTTGGCGATGACATTTATTCGGTGTGGACGCTACGTGAGAGATAATAGATTCGATCAAGACTTTAACAAAAATATCGGTCTTCATGTAATTTAACAATTTAAGTTAAAGTTATAATTGACAATAGTTAAAGCGGCAAGTGTGTTATCCTTTTAGACATAACGCGAACTTTTGTGAATCTAGCGTCATCACTAAAAAAAAGTGACGGATAGAGCATATTTTTGCAGTATCTTAGAGCAAAAAAGTAGCAAAAAATTTTGATATATTTATTTGTTTCTATACAGTATTTTGTGCTTTTCGAGAGTGGGAATGCTATCGTAACATGAAATCAGCATCCCTTTTTTTATATTAGTTTCCTGCGAATGCGTAAGAGCAATAAATTCGCGATTAAAGCAATAAATTAATAATAAATTAACACTTAATTATGGCATATAGTCGAACTTTTTTTTAGTGATGGAGGTGCCAGGTATATAGGCGATAAAATATAAATGACTTGATTGCTAAAAGAAAAAATGCTATCCCATTTAATTTCCAAAAATAAAGAAATATATATAAATGTGGTAATCTATAATTTTTAGAATTATTAGATACTCATGGAAAGGCAATGAGATGATTTTAGCTTACGTTTAGTTAAGCGGCGGTCCGTGCTTCTAGGTGGACTCGCCGTTCCAATCCCGCTTTCAAGCGGAGATGCTCTGTCGGTGGTATCCGGCGACAAACTTCCGGAAGAAATCTCGTCCATGCTCTGTAGGAGGTCCTGGGACGACGATGAGGATCTATTGTCGTCATCCACAGTGTCTTGGGGAGAAACTGGATCTAATGTGCTCTCATCTTGCAATGACTGCGAATCTAATTGGGACTCGGCTGCGATAAAAAAAAATACGTGATTTAACAAACTATAAATTAAATATACAATAGTAATGCTACATCAATGATATAAAATATCATTGAATTATATAGATATTTATATATTACATTTTTATATATGACAATGTTTTACAGTTACTTTACGCGGAGAGATAATAGAATTACGCAAATATTATTTTCTAAAAAAAATTATTTTAAATACAGTTATAAATTAATAACGTGTTAATAGAATAAAAATAAGCATTTATTTATTTTATACAAATTTTTTATCACACAAAAATTTTCTCTCGCGTCAGAAAAGATCGAAAATAAATTAGTATAATATGCTATTCTGTACTATCTAAAGGACTTCAAACAGATGTAAACTTAACGGATTCGAAAGGTCAGATAGTTAATTTAAACATAAATCATTGATTGATAAACGGAATTCTTGTAATAGTACCTGAATTACGGAGAATCTCAAAACGGAAATAAACTTCCCGGGTGTTAACTAATCTCATGAATATATATTAAGCAAAATTTATGTAAGCGACGTAGGATGATGAAAATTACCTTGAGGAGAGTCGCAATCGCTGACCCAGGTGAAGCTAGAGCTCCTTGAAATCGCCGGCGAAGTTTGGGTCGCCATGTCGGAGCAGGTGAGAGTATCCACCGGCGGACTATTTGGGCAACAGGAACCCGAGCCATTTCGTATTCTCGACAATAGGGACTGCAGGGAATTAGGCAGCTAAAATAAATAATATCAAATGACAAAATAAATTAAAGTCAAATCTCGCCTTTTTCTAATGCTTCTATTAATTATTATTGTTGTAAATACAAAAATTAAATATTTCATATTGTAATAAATGCTATTTCCAAATAATTTTTTTTAAATAGTTGCAAATTCAAAAATACCAGAATGGAGAATATTAAGCTATAATTATTATTTAAATATTTAAGGATTTAATTATTTAAAATTTTAGATATTTGACTAATTGAATATTTACGTGTTAATCATTATTTAAATTTTCTGATTATAATTCCCTGAATTTATAAACTCGTCGAGATAGACGCTGTACATATTACAATGCAAATAAGCTAATGCATAATTAATTCTCAATAATTTCACGTTGATAAAATATAATTAGTGAGAGAAATCAATATAGAGACTTACGGATCCCGTTCTCGCGTTTTGCTCCTCCATGATCCTTTTCACATCAGCGTGCTCCAGTTTGCCGAGGGTTCCGTTCACGATCCCGCAATTCCCATTGACGTCATTGTTCTCGGACAAGTCGCAATTCACCGCGACATCGTTGCCCCACGTTCGCGTCAACGTGAACTTCTTCAAGTCCACCGGGCTGACTTGCCTGATATCTCTGTCCGACTCCGACAGTCTTTTCGCGGTGACATCGGAACGTAAAGTTAGCGGCGATATCGCCCTCTTTTTTCGAGTCAACGTTTCTTTCGAATTCACCTTGACGTTCTTCGCCTCGTGGAGCCTGTCGTTTCTCCGGCGCAGCATATCCTGATCCGGCAGCGAAGACACGCTGACCAGGATAACGTCGTCGGAGCTCTCGTGGAACACCGGCGTGTGATGCCGTTTTTTCAACAATTTCGAGAACGGCGGCTTCTTCTCCTCCGTGGGTGTCACAGGCGCCGATTTCGGGACGTGATTGTCCAACGATCTGGACCTGCCCGTAACCCCGTTCGGAAACACGTCGTCGTAATCGGGATCCATGGTCTCTTGATCGTCCGCGCCTCCGCGTCGGAGTCTCTGCAGTCGCATTGCCTTTCTACGTTTTTGACTCGTTAGGTTGATGGGAAGGCTCGTCTTTCTCTCGGATCGCTGTCGCGGCGGTAATCTCGCGTTCGCCTCTTCGACAGCGTCGTCCTCGGCGTTTCTGAACGATCGGGCTTGGAGCGCGTCCACGTTGGTATCTTCATTGGTCTTCGAACTTAATCCTACGGGTGTCTTTGGTGCATGGCAAGGATTCGATTGTGCGTCTTTCGTGGCGCACTCGCGCTCCAATTTCGACGGTAGACTAGAGGTAATCCGATCGATCTGGCTTCTGATCGAGCTTATCGGCAGGCAATTGCTGGGCTCGTCGTAGTCGGAGCTCAGTGTCTCCGTGGTGTGAAATCGACCACGATTGCGACCGTAAATGTCCTGCAGGTTCTCCGGCAGGCTGCCGCTCTTCCTCCTCCCCCCCTCGGGGATCACGCGATCGTGAGGCTCGTCGTAATCGGAGTTCAGCAGGCAGCGACGATCGTCGTCGACAAACAGTTTTCCGTTCCTGCGATCCCGAAGACTCTTCTCATCTCTAAGAGAGCCACGTTCACCGTTAAACTCTCGATCGGAGCACTCGCTGTCGGATATTCCGAATTCGTTCAGCAGCTCTCTGTATTGTATCACCCTGACGTCGTCGTTGCTGCGCGCGACGTTTCTCCTCGTTTTCTCTTTGGTAAGCTCGCTGATCTCGTTGGCGATTATGCTGTTGAACTCCGCGAGGATGCTGTTCGACCACTCGCCGATAGCCTCGTCGCCTCTCGTCAACGAGTTTTGTCTCCTTGCGAAACCGTGCGATTTCGCAGCAGGCGGATATTTCGGGACGAACGAGTCATTCGCGCAGCTCGACACCTTCTCAGGCTGAGTTGGATGTTTCGCCTCTTCTACGACGCGAAGTGGAGTTGTTGGAGCTGACTCGATTATCTCGCCGATTTCATCCTGCAGACAATCAGAAATTCAAAACGTTTAAAACATTACACTGTCGGAGAATAGCCTTTTCACTAAGAAGTACTTTCTTTCTGCTAAGCGTAATATAGCTCTCGTGAATGGAATATAATACCATATGTGCTACGTAATTTAACGAGTCAGCTTCAAGGAAGGAGGTTTCATTGGACGTCGTCGATCGTTTAAACGCAGAGGCTGTCCCCTCGATCGATGAGGCTAAAGAGAAACTTGCAAAATCCTACCGGCTAGGATAGATAGGTTACTACCTTTGCGCGGATATCTCGCGCGTACAGTTAGCCAGCGGAACGCATTTATAAAGTGGCGCATAATGAAGCGGTTACGCGAGAGGCTGACAAGAACCAACGCGGTCCTCGATGCTCGTCATGCGAAATAAAACGAAGGAATCGGCCAGCTGCCGCGACTTAAGACGAGCCGATTTCAAGATGCATTCTCTCTCCCTCTCTCTCTTTCTCTTCCTGGGTTTTCTTGTCCTATTTATCTATCAATCGCGTCTCCCCTTCTTTCTTTAAGGCACTCTCCCACGTAGTCATTGTTAAGCACGTGTGCACCCTAAGCAGGGCTATAGTGAAACGCGATTAATAGCAGCAATTAAAGTATGTAAGATTTATTCTATGTTAAACAGAGAAAGAGAGAAAGAGGAATAAATATAAAAATAGAGCAGGTAAAATTTGATTAAAGACGTTAATAAAATGGCGCAATAAAATTGTTGCATTCATATTTGAAGCTTAAAATAGACTAGAATTTGCGTTCAAAATATTCACTGAAATTAAAGTATTTTACGTATCGTAATTAATTAATGAGACAATGCAAGAGATTTATAGAGTGAAAAATTGCAGTTTATGTAACATAAACGTATTACTTCAGTTCTAAAATGATAATACATTGAAATTCGCAAATTTTCTTAATCCTGCCTGGCCCACCTCCACTGCACAAACGGGCTAAATTGAATTTGCATAAGTCTCTTGATGCAGCTCGTTCACGACCCACGCGATCTCGAAACTACGCACGAGACAGTCGCGATCGGGTGCTTCGGTCTCGTCGATCAACGTATCAAATTATATCGAATGGAAAGAACAAGCTTGATTAAATCGAGGAGGCTAATTGTAAGACGATTTGCAATCCAATCGAAAATTCCGATACTCCACTCTCGGATCAAAGAATAAGGTAAAGAAAAAAATAAAATAAAAGAGATTGAAATTGCAGAAGAAAGAATCTTTAATCAAAGTCTTTGTACGAATTAGAAAACAATTATTGAGGCTTCACGCGCAGAGTGCGTGAGAGAAGGAACGTGGGAGTTTTAAAGCCGCAACAAAGCGAAACGCAATAATGCATTACGCGTACCTATACGAGTGAACAAAATTTATAGGCTGCCGTGCGTATTCGGTATGCAAATCGTCGGACGCGAATAGTTGGCCTAACCAGCGGACTTAGCGAAACTCATCAACACGGAGCGGCGCAACGGCGCGGCGGCGCGTAAGACGAAGAGAGCCGCTAAGATAAGACGGAGGAGGAGGAGCTCTCGAGGGTATCCAGCCGGTACGATTGCATCCAGCTGGGCGATCAATCATCGTGCACGAGCTTCCTATTGTTCCTACGCGGGTGTTACATTGTGCGCCGCGGGCTAATGGCGTAGGATACCGGGATATAATTGTCTCGGACGTGTCAACCCGTTTACTATCGGCGACTAATCTCGCGGCTTTGATACACCTTGATCTATCTTCCAGTATATCCCAACAGGTTAATCCTGACGTCGGTGGATACGCTCATAATGCAATTGCGAACTCGTCGCGGGAATAATCCGGCCGTGACCGTTAACAACAAGTATACTCGAAAGCCCGAGACCTTTGTGTTGCGTTGTATCAATTTGCCACTTGGGAATGATTCATACGCATATTGTACATTAGTGTACCTAAAGCGAGGAAAAAAATTGTTGTAGATTCTAAACTTTTAACGAAATCAGTTGGAGTTACTTGAAGTAGCTCCAGGACAATTAAGCTCCAGGACATAATTAGAATATACCGTAAAATTAATTCAGAGAATATATATTAAATAGATATTAATATACCCGCATATATTAATATCAATTTAACAGTATATTATACTGCAGTATATTAAAGAATATAATGAATATTACGAATTTTAATTCGAGTGCCAATTTTTACTTTCTGTCTTTTTATTCATCGCAAATTTTTTCTCGGTTTTACAACACTGCAAAAGAGAGGAGGCAATACTTAGAATTTTTCATTTCATATATATTATTGTATCGTTAGAATGTTTATAATATATTATATCGTTTTTCGTTATTATATCACAAGTTATTTCGAGAACCACTTTAACAAAGCGACAAGTTTCGACCGTGCAACCGATTGTTCGCGCAAATCTTAATCGTTATAATTGTTGATGGATCGAGTGCAACGTTTCCGTCGAAGGACGCGGAAGCGCGCTTGTGAATCGTCTTGATTGGGATCGCGTTTAATCTCCGCTCTCTCGCTACGCCTACAATGGCGGCACGGCCATCGCCGCGATCGCCATGTGCCATTCTAATATTCTCCATCCATAACGCCCCGGCCGGTACATTTATCAAGCCGATATTTATGTGAAAGCACGCACGTCGCGCTTTTAGCGGCGCACTTTCTTCCTACTTGAGATAGCTCTCGTAGCGCAATGATTAGACGAGCGCGTCTGGAAAATTTTCTCTCGCCTTCGCGTGGGCTGACCGCTGATGATAACGACAATCAACGAGATTGACGTTGCTGGTAGACAATAAATTAACACTCGCCGGCCGCCGATTCGCCGTAATATTGATAGCGAAAATCGTTCAGCGAAAACGTTATATTTACGACGTGAACGCAGATGTTAAATAATGAAATAATGAATTATTTACTTAATAAATATAACGTAAAGATAAATTTAACGTGTAATTTACAGGTCGTTTGATTATTTGATAGATAAAAATATAATTTTTACGTTAAAATAAAATATGTAATAATAATAATAATTAATATTATCCTTTTATATAAAGATAGAATGTCGTTACAGATAAACAATAAAAAGAGAAAAAAATTGGAAGACTATCTAGATAATTATAATTATTTACAATAATTACAGAATCAAATCGATCATTTGCCTGTCAAACTGTTAATTTGTACCTAAAGGAATTAATTAGTAAATGACGCGGAAGTGACCTTTCAAATACGCAGTTTCACCGTGCGATGCATGTCGCACCTATAACATCTTCCTGAAAGCGAGAAAAGTCATCAACCCGTTCAGGTAACAAAAAATTTCGATAAAATATCGACGTCGTTCATTAAGCGAAGAAGCTTGTCGTGCGTCAAAGACGTCGATGCATCTGCCAAGTGGGTATGGCCAGCATGTGCGTGCCGACAGTTCCCGGCAGAACTGAAATTAATATTTAAACTGTAAAGTGATAAATCTTGACATTTTTACTGAAGTTCATAAACAAGTTTGACATTTATATTTATCACGTTGTTCGTTCTAGGCTTATATTTTTTATTTTTTCTTCTGTCTTCTTCGAAATATAAAATCACTATTATATATGTACCATTGTTTCAATTGTTAATTTTTCAGGATAATGAAAGCATAATGTCGCATCACAACAAAAGAAAGCTTCTAGAATTAATTAATGTTTGAGACGATAGTTCATAAATTTTAATATCATACGAGAAATTTAATTACTAATTTTCTTAAATCTCAGCTAAATTAAAAACTAAAAAATTTCAAATTATTCTTACAAGTTTAAAATACTTTCGTAATGGTAACAGAATGTATAAGAGCCCTATATTTTAAATATCCAATCTCAATAAATTCAAATTAAATTAGTTTCTTCATGTGTGTATAAGAGACGTGTTGCACGAGAAAATTCTACAAAATTGCAAATATGCATTCACATGTAAAATGCATTAATTAATGCAGATTGTATGACAGAGCGCATCGCCTTGGCGTGCAATAGTTTCGTCCATCGTGCGGGCTTAATTGACTCGAAACTTAATTAAGCCTCGACCGGGGAAGCTCGAGAGTTACCTAGTGAGCATAAAGGACGATCAGATCAAATTGAAGCAACGTTTTAATCGTCTTGTAAACTGCATCTCATGGCTGAGTGCATTTCGCTTCGGGAAATAAATCGCATGAATCTTAGCGTATCAACCGATTTTCCGTCACGCCCGCGCGTGCCACTTAATCCACTCGCAGTCGCCAAGCTGGTTAATTAATTGCGATGATTGCTAATTAATGTCGCCACATAAATCAAGCGAAATTCTGCGGCAAACATTTGCCGAAATCGAACTTATCCAATTACGTAATGATCAGCGCAATTTATAATACTCTTAATACGCTGTTTGATTCAGGAACCTATATTTTTTATTCTCGTCTTTTTTACCTAACTCGATACGCTCATAAAAATATGTTAATTAATTGACTTCTAAATCGCATTTGCGTTAAACGATACGCTAATACGAGGAATTAATTATGGTATTAAACGCATAAAGTTTAATATTTGCAGTACGTCGAATGAAATGTGACCTATCGATCGGATAGAAATTACTATTTACGCGTGATCAACCCGTTCTGCCGATCCTATCTGATCTTCCCACATATTTGTCAGATATAAGCTGATAGAATTCTACTGGTTGGCTCTTCATTAATTTTCCGCGATGATCATAATATTTTATGTCGTCATATTATTGGCTATGAATTTCTCACTTCGTTTTGCCTCGATTACCTATCACATCTCTTTCTCTCTCTCTCTCTCTTTTTCTTTCCATATCGATATATAATAATATTAATCTAACAGCTAATAGACCACCGAGAATTTCTCCGATTATTCTTTGAAACATAAATTTTTATAGAGGATTTTGTTAATATTAAAAAAATATTACAATCAATATTAATATAAAATATCTACGTGCATCTGTTACATCATATTAATATACATATATGGTTTGGTTTACCATTTT